GAACCCTAATCGACGGTGGAGAACCTCACCGCATCACTTTTTGAAGCAAAAGGCTGTGTGCCTTTCTCTCGCTGCCGTCGAATTATTATTAATAGGACCCGATTTTAATGAAAGCAGATGAGAAAATGCGAATGAGGGATTTTGTACGGCTGAGAAATATTGAGGGGGGGCGGGGGGCGCTCGAAAAAATGCGCACTGCGCTTTCCTTCAGTGGCACCGCACAAAATTTTTAACGGTAATTATAATATAAAAATATTAGGTGTCAGCATTAGGGATGCTTTTTCCTATGTTTTTTTTTTCGAAAGGAGCGGATTTTTCTTTTTCCTTTATCCTTTTTTTTCTTTTTCTTTTCTCTCTCTCTCTCTCTCTCTTTTAGGCAACGAGGAGAAACTTGCATTAGGGGCGAGGGATAGTCAGCCCTCACCTTATATTCATCTCAATTTCTAGATAAAATGGGGTTTGACATGATACATAAGGTCACTGTTAATTAATTGCCTTTGATATCTCATTTTACTTAGGCCCAACGAACTATGAAGTGAGGCCCACCATCAGATCAGGCAAGGCAGCAACGTTCACTTCGGCCATGATCATGTTTCCGGTTTATCCCAAAAATAAAAAATAAATAAATGAAAAATGAAAATCATATAACATCAGCGTGACGCAAAGCAACACTCGTTCTCTTCAATTATGAGACTACTGAATTAACACCACAAACTAGCTATGAGGCTATCTGTATTTTGCTTTGCTTTCTAAAGAAAAATTGTGGTCTGATTTTTATCTGGGATTCAAATTCTCAACCCTTCAATTTACAGTGATTCAGGCTTCACCCAGTTCAGATAACCGCTTCTCTGGTATCCGATCAAGTATGGTGATAGAAATAAATCTTTACATCACAAAAAATTAAAAAACATCAACCGTAAAAATAAGCTTCATCAATATATCCTCTGGCTACATACAATTTGAAGCAAATGTATCTACTAGCAATGCGCAGAAGATTGAACCTGTAACAATTAATCTTATGAAAAATGAGTATCATTAATTGTTTGGAATTGTAATGGGTTATACTTAGCTTTCCTCATTTTCAATTCTCAAAATAACTATACTAGGGATAAAAAGGTAACTTACCACTCAGATCTGCCAAAAATTTTACTGTAGTTAGGGGCTGTTTGGTTCCCTGTTTTTGAGAAAAATGCTCTCTTGAAAGCCTGTCAAAAGTGTCACTTTTTGACAGGCTTTCAAGCAAAATCGCCTCTTTTAGAGGCGATTTTGCTGAAAGCATGTCAAAGAAGTGACGCTTTGGCAGACTTTCAAGAGAAAAAAAAAATTCTAACCAAACGGACCCTTAGTGGGGGATGAAATTGAGGGGAGAACGCAATTTGAGTGGAAAATTTCAAAATTATTAAGCCCTGGAGGGGAAATTTTAGAAATACCTAGCAATGCTAGGCGGGGTACGTGTTATTAGTTATTATATGAAAAAGCCTTTAGGTGCCACCAACCTGCTTGGGGAACCATAGCCCGCAAAAGATGGTCGGCCCCATGAAGGCACATGCATGATTTTAATCCTCTTTTCCATGCAATTAAAAAATATATATAAGTACATCTATATTCGCTTCATCTATTTTTTCCTCAACTAAAAATCAATCACGAAGTAACAAAGTTTCTTTCAAATTTGATTTTGATGCTCATGTCTATATTCCTTTCAATGTTTTGTTAAGTTTGTATCACATGCTTAGTGACCGGGATGCATTAATTATATGCTAATCATAGGCTAAGGATGTGATAAATATTTAATAGAATTATTCTAATGAAATATGGACGAGGTACCAAAGAAAAAATGTAATTTAAAACTAAGGGTATTAAAGTGTTAAGGAAATAATCGTAGGTGCGCGCCAAAGGGTAGAAAAGATAGAAAGTTAAGGTTTTTAAGTGAAAAAAAAAAAAATACTTTGAGGCATCAAAGTTAAAAGGTGGATAAACTTCTATAGGTACAAAGGTGAAAATAAACCACAAAATAAGCAGAAAGGTTTTTTCTATATTAGTCTCTTAAACTTTCATATTTGACATTAGCACTTCAAAGCAGTTAAATTGCTATCAAGACACTAATTTCTTAAGATATTTTGAATTAGTCCCTCAAATCATATTAAATTTCTATTAGGTCCATTGATTCTTAAGTTATTTTGAATTGAATGCTTCAAATCAAAAATAAAATAATAACTAGAGCAATGTATTTGAAACGCCTTCTAAGAATTGAGGGTCCTAATAGAAATTCAATGTGCACCATTCTATAACAGTAAACATAAGAAACTTAGAAAATCAATATTCCTAAGATATTTTGAGTGCAACAATATCCATTAGAACCATATGATCCATTGATGGAAAAAAAATTCATGACATGCACTTTTATCACGTGCTTGGCGACGGGGTAGAATGGATCTAATATATCACATGCAAATCACATACTAAGGGGGTGATATAAATTTAACAAAAAGTATAACAACATCTAGATTCAGTGTGCAAAGGTGAAAAATGATTGGAACTTTAGGGTACAAAAGTGTTAAATAAATACTTTCATGTATAAAAAAGTTAAAGAAATACTATCAGGTATCCAAGTGAAACAGGATCAAAACTTTGGGGTGCCTAAGTGTTAGAAGAATGCTTTTGAGGCATAAAGTGATAAGTGGCAAATTTGAGGTACAAAAATGATATAAGCCACCAAAGAACAAATTTTTTTTCTATATCAGTCATTCAAATCTTTCATATTTATAGTTAGTCCTTTAAATTATAGAAATTGCTGTTAGGTCTTGTTATCCGTTTCATAAGCTACTTCGACGTTGGTACCTCAAATCATCAAAATTGTTATTAAGTCCTCATATTCTTGAGTTTATTTTAAAATTATTCCTACAAATCAAGTAATTAATTAGTAGTTAGTGGGATCTCTACAAGACGGCTTATGAGAATTGAGAATAACATTATGATGTATGACAATTTCATATAGCAAGCACGTACAATGCACATGCTTTCCTTATTAGTATATCGAAAAACCCTTTTTATTTTCGATGGTTACGATCGACACTTTTATTATTGGAATACTCAACTCAGTTATTCATCGGTAAAAAAAAAGTTTAAAGTATTGCATGAAAATGTATCTATCATGTAATTTTTCTAAAATATGATTATAGTTTATGTTGGGTACCGACTCGAACTTCAAGTCGGATGCAGGTTTGAAGGGTATGCCCAATCATAGTAGTTTTGTTAGAGGCCAAGTTAACTTGGCGGACAAGTCAGGGGTGTCTTTAAATAAGACCTCCTATTCTAGGGTTTAGAGTAGAGAGAAGGAGAGAGACCATATTCTTGTAATCAGGGTTTTAAAGGGTGTAACTGCGTTCAAGGGTATTGTGAGAGAGAGAGAGAGAGAGAGTTTGGCAGTCTTTGTCCGTGTAAAAGATTGTAATTTGGAGGTGATAATATATTGATTTTGATCTTTTTTCTTGTTGAGGGTTTTCCACATTAAATCTGGTGTGATTCTATTTGCTGCGTCTGGTGATTTTTAGGATATTTGTGAGATCTAAAAATACCAACAGTTTATTATTGATTTTTTTATTTATCTCAGATGAGTCCGACACGTTAAATTGAGCTTTATTAGTCTGTCGACATTTAGTTCCAAAAAATTGTATAGCAAATTAACAATGAAATAAGGAGCATATGAATTTGTCAAAGTATCCAATGCCAAGAATTGAACATGCCTCAAATGCTGGCCCACTTCTTAGGTCTTTAGGAACCCAAAATTACACTTGTGTGAATACAGAGCAAGGATCTAGCTTACACGGATTGCTTTTAAAAAAATAGTTATGCGGACTGAAGTATCTCAAAGTTTTCACCATTTTAACCTTGATACCCTAAAGTGACTTAATGTGGGCAGCAAGGTCAAGTTATTTTGAAAATTTAGGTATGTTGGAAAAAAAGCACTTCACGGTATCAAATTCAAGAAATGATGTAAATATTGGGGATACCTAACTGCAAATACGCTAAATTGAAA